CAGGGTGGCGGAGGGGGTGGCGGTGGGGGCAGTGGCCGGTGAGGGCCCTGTCGTCCTTGCTCTCACCTGGGACTCTTCCTCCCACTTGGAGTCCCGTGTCCTCAGCGCTCCGGCTCCTGGTCCCGCCCGGCAGGCCGGCCCCTGTGCTCCCTGGGCCTCTACCAGCTGGCCGAGGGTGGCTGCCCAGCCTGGGGATCCTGCGCCATCTGCCGCTACCCTCCACGCACCCCTCCGCCACACTGCAGCAGCTCCACACTTCCCTTGGCCCACAGGATAGCGTCCAGGGTGGCCCTGGGCCGCTGTGACAGCTCTGACTTGTCCCCACCGCCAGCCCTGCACTTGGGGACAGGCTGAGTTTTCTCCAGCTGGTGTGCCTTTGTCCAAGGGGTTCTCACCCTGCTGGCCCGCCCCGGTCCCCACAGTGTCCCCTCACTTGACTGACTGGACTGGGCCCAGGATTCCCCCTGTTGTCCCTTGAGGGTGCCCTGGACACCACTCCTCCCAGCCCTGCCCTGGACACGGCCTGACTGCAGCCTCCCCAGCATGGCCTCGGGTGCTCGGCCTTCCACGGGCCTCTGGGCCAGAAGAAGGTGTTTGAATTCAGAAGCCCAAAAAGGCCCAGAAGAAGAGTGACACTTGGTGGCATAAGCTCTGAGGACCTCGGCCGACTGCTCGTCGGGACCTCCCGGGATGCAGTGCTAGGAGGGCCTAGGATGACGGCCTGTTCGTCCTCTCCCTCTGTTTAAATATGTGAAATGTGGAAAAGTTTGAGTTTTGGTTTGTTTAGTTTTAGTTTTAGCTTTTTTTTTTTTTTTGCTGTAGAGCACATGTGCTTGGGGAGGGAGGGCGTGAAAATCGCCCCGCGTGAGGAGATGGCCACACTGAAGTCCCTTCTCCAGTCTCCCCTTGGGATTTTGGGCACACACGCATATGCCCAGCGTGACTTTAGAGTGACCAGGACCAGGACTTGAACCACACACCGAAACCTCAGTGCCACCTGCTGGCTGGAAATGTATAGCTGTTTGGGACAGCCGCAGTTCCCAGCCAGATGCAGCTGTTCTGGCTGCAAGGTGGCCGTGCGGCCCGACTGGATTCTGCTGCTCACCGGCTGTCCTGCCCCTGCTGTCACCGCCCGACCTCGCCCCCTGGCAGGGGCTCCTTAAACCGTCCCCAACGCACCATGGCCACGCTTCCCGCCTGTGCGATTGTGAATGGTACCAGGTGGTCCTCGGCCAGTCAGCGTGAGTGGTCTCGGGGTTGAGTCTGCAAGCGCATTGCAGGCAGAGGTGCGGCTAGTAATCAGCAGCAGGTGAGACAGCAGGAGGGCTGCTCGGAGGAAGGCGCATTTAAGGCCATTGTGTTTGTCCTCTTCATTTTCCATCCTACGCTGCTGCTTTTTATTTGAGTTTCTTTTTTTTTTGCTTTGTTTTGGTATCTGGGCATGTGTTTACTGGAAAGAGGGAAAGTGAGAAATCACCCCCAGGGGTGATTGTGGCCATGCCACAATCCCTTCGTTCTCTCAGGATTTTGGGTGCGCACACGCACCTGGCATGTGCGTCTGGGGTTCGAACTGCAGAACCCCCAGGTGGAATCCAGCTCCGCGGTGTCTTGCCGCTGCCGGCCGTTGTTGGCTGATACTCTGGGAAAGCGGTCACACTAACCTGTCCCCTCACCAACACATCGCTCCCGACCCGCCGTTCGCAGGAACAGCTTGTAACGCACTGAGCTCTAGGAACTTTATGTGTCTGATCGTAGTTTTTAAAGACATGTTTGTTTTATCTTTTTTTAAAAATAATTATTTATATTATTTTATTTATTCATTTATTTTTTAGTTTGATCAGAGAGAGACAGGAGTTGTGCGAGATGGTCCCTGTTTTATGTTTTCTTAAAAAATAATTTTTAAGGGGGCTGACAGGTTGGTGTGGTTGAGGTGCTGGACTCCCACATGGGTGACCACGGTTCTAGTCCCGGACCAGGCAGCTTGCTTTCACTTTGCTTCTCTCTCTCTCTCTCTCTCTCTCTCTCTCTCGAAAAAAAGAAAAAGGAAAAGGAAAAAAATATAATTTTTAAGGACTAGCAGGGGATGTGGTTAAGGCAGTGGACAGTCCCACATGGCCAACCACAGTTCGAGTCCTGGACCTGATGGCCTGCTTGCTTTCTCTCTCTCTCTGGTCAAATTAAAAATAAATGAATCCGGGAACCAGCAGTTAGCGTAATGGCTATGTCGCTGGACTCCCACGTAGTCGACCGCGGTTCGTGTCCCGGACCCGGTGGCTTAAATCAGGGTAAAGGGGAGCGGTCGGGGGATTTTGGAGAAATCTTGCTACAAATATGTA